GGACCTGAGCTGGACTGACAGCTTGTTTTTGACAGCTTGTTCTGTGCCATTTAGCTGAAATAATCTGAGTCGCCTCACTTCTCCAAAGGGCAGAAGCAGTTCTTGGGTTTCCTTTCTCTATTTTTCAGTCAAGGCCTTTCCAGTCGCCCACAGAGGCAAACTTGAACCAAGAGGCAAACATCTAAGGTAACCAGCCTCTCTTCTCCTAGGCCTGTTTTCTTCACTAGCAGGCCTTAAATTAAGCCCAGCTGAATTTCTTTGTCAGACGTGCTTCTCGTAATACAATATTTTGTGGAATGACTGGTTTCTGTATGTGAAAATGCTATTCCATAACGTAAGAGTGATACTGAGGATGATGTTAGCAAAGAAAAAGGAAGCAAATTCATCGTGGTGGTGTCAGCCAGAAGAAAAGAAAAGGCGCTGTAGAGTTAGTTGGACAGACGGGTCCTTGGCAAGGCCTGGAAAGGCCTGCTGCCCGATGAGACAGCACGAAAAAGCGTTCCCAGGAAGACATCAACATCAAGGTGCCTCCCAGGAGGAGGTGTTGTGGTCAGTTCAAAGCAAGCCAGCGCCTCTGAAGCAGCTGACAAACGCCGCTGTTGCACATCAAGGAGCACGGTGTGGGGAAGGAGAATTTATTTGCCTCACCTGCAACCAGGAGCTGTTTTACTGTGCTCTCATCTGAGTCCAATAGTTACTGTAAATCGAGTTCCCTCTCCCTAGTTTCTCAGAAAGTGAAACTAAATCAAGCCAGGAATGGTTTTACTGGCACAGGACGTGTTTTCAGGCCTCCGACACGTTTCATGGATGAGTCAAAAGAACGTGAGCAGTTTTTTTGTGCTCAGACAGCACAGAGGATATATCCGCTCTTCTCCTATAAGGGAGGATTTCCTAATCTATCTGAGCCCCTAGTAACATCTGGTTTCAATAGCAGTGTTCCCCTTGTAGAAAAGCCCCTTGGCAGGATACGCTACCTAGCACAGTGCTGACAGTTCATTCCCATTTCAGCTGGGAATGAAATCCACGTGGTTCTACTTCATCCTACAAAAAGTGTGGGGGTCTGTGGCTGAAGCAGAGCCCCGTGGCGGCTTGGAAGCGTAACAAAAGATGGAGAAGTCACCGAAATGGGAAAACCTGAAGAGATGAGCGCTTTGAGAAACGTGTTAGCATCGTTTTGCAGAGAGCAAAGGGAAGCAGAGTGGGGTTGCAGCAGCCTGGAGGAAGCTGCTGGTACAGCTGGAAGCGTACTGTGGGTCTGGCCAGCATCCTGAGCACAGGTGCATCTGTCTTCCTTAACTTCTGGAGACACAACTGTGATAGAGGGAAATGTTCTCAGGAAGGATGAAATGCACAGGGAAGGGTGAAGAAGCCCTCTCTGTTCCTTATAGTGAAGAGAATTTTGTTTCTTTCACGTTTCATCAGTTTTAGTCAAAACGTTAACAGCTCCACTCGTCAGCCACCTCTCACAGAAAATGTTCAACGTGGGGGATCCGCGTGCCCCAGACTCCCCTCTAAATGCCTTTAAAGTCACCTAGCTCTCTCCATGTTGCCTAGCACTGCGTTTGGGCTCCTTCAGTCAGCCCCAGTGGCCAGGCACAACTTCTGTACCGGCATTAGGGAGGCCAGGCCAGACCCCCTGACCCTAATCCCCAGGATCTTGGTATTTGGCAGGCTGATGGGAAAGCAGAAATAACTACCAGCACATCCTACTTCAAAAGTTCCTATTTCAAAACTGTTTTCTGGCTGGCTAATGCATGCACTTCCCATTTCACAAAGCAAATGTGCAGAACTGCTGCTCCAGCAGGTGCCGTATGGAGATGGCTGTGCCCCCTCCCAGTGGCTCCTGCAGCCCCAGTCACCTCCCAGTTGCTCCTTCCAAGAGATGGGGAGATCCACGACCAGTACATCTGCTGGCTCTGGCCTCTAAGCCTCTGGTGCTGGGTCCAGGGCACATCTCCATGAAGGTCTCATCCCAGCAGTGTGCTAAGTGCTCACCAGAGGAGAGCGATGAGTTTCCCTTTATGTTTTCCCAGCAATATTCACTGTTTGCCACTTAACTTCTGACTGACCACGGATATTGTACAAAACCCTCCAATAAACACCAAACTTGTGTCGATTCGGGACTTCACTCGTGAGTTCTGCTTGGGTTTGGGGAAGGAGGAACAAGAGAAAAGTTGCTGACGCCGAATCAGTCTCTGTGAAATAAGAAAGGATCCAGGGATTTCCTGCTTTTTGCAAAAGGTTGGGTGCTTTGTTCCCTCCCTGTTAAGGAGGGAATGAGGGGTTAATGCCTGCATTTGCACAGAGTGAGAGGAGTGAGAACGGAGACCCAGGGCCCTGCTGGGAATGGCTGGTGATGGTGCCAGGGTGCTCCTCAAGCGACAGCCTCACGTGGCAGATGTCCCACCATGTGGCGGTTTGTACACCAGGGCTGCAGGAAATTGTGAAATCTGTGCATAAGCTCCAGCTTCTAGCTGTGTGCTGTTTGTCAACTGCTCATACAAACCCCGGGAGGCCAGTCTGGTGTTCAGGGCCTGTACAAGATTGTATGTTGCCATGCCCAGCCCTGGGTTTCTCAGCCACAGGCAACCAGATGCTGAAAAATAACTCGTCACTTACATTTTGCACTCTGCATCACCCAAAGACTTCGCCCTGAGCCAAGATGAGGGGCAATAAAGGAATGAAGAGAGGTGTTTTTTACACATTGATCAGGAAAAGGGTCAGGGGCCAGAAGCTGGGCACAGGACAGACCGAGGACAGCAGGGATCTGTACCTGTGAGATCAGTCAGAGGAGGAAATGAGGAGCAGAAAGGAATGGAAAGCAACAGCAGGAGCACGTCTGTTGAGAATTTTGTAAATGTGATGGGGCAACAGGACGGAGCAGTTAAGCACAGAGCGTTGCAGATTTTCCTGTTGTGAACTCCACTCCCTGGCACATGCACTTCTTTGCTGTGCTTGCCTAACGCACAGCTGTGGTGCTGTGGTGGCTTCCTGGGAGGAGGACTTGTTCCAGAAGGGACCAGATGACCACAGTGCCTGCTCCTGATGGGCAATACAGCCCTGAGTCTTGGCCCAGAAACCTCGCTGTATTTCACAGGTACAAAACGTAGCCACACGTTTTATCAAAAGATAAATAAGGCTTGAAGGCTTTCACATAGGGGATAAGAGTTTGAGTTGAATTGAAAGCTGTGTATTCATCTGCCAAGCAGCAGCTTTGCTTGGTTTGATCACAATTTTCATTTCACACTTGGATGGAAACTTCAGGAGGTAGCTGGCTCCCTGAGCCTTGTTCTGCTGGGCAAGCCAGCCTGCAAGTGAGTCAGGCAGTTTAACTCACAGTCGTGTCACAAACCCTTCACACTATGCCTGATGTGTAAAAAGCAAAGCAAGTTTCCCAAAACATTAAAACTTCACAGAAAACACCACTAGAGGGGGCTGGTTCTACATAAGCCAGCTCAGGTTTGTGCAGCCCTAATGGTCACCAGCCTGTGCAAACGCACCTGTGTGGCGATAGCCACAAAAATTGCCAGACCTGCCCAAACCAGGGGAAAACCCAGAGTGCTAACCTCAGCATGTGGCACTGCTCCTTACTCCCACACCCCCAGACTTGCCTACCTCTATTCCCACATTCCCTGAAGTCTTAGGCAAGAGAAAGCAAAAGCTGCTGGAAAGTTTACCGGGGATCTTCCTAAATCCCGGATCTGTGATGCTTTGAAATTGTTTTGAATAATCCGCTCTTCAGCACGCACAAATCCTCTGGACTACATCGGTCCCAGGCAAGTTTAAAGAAAGATAAAAATCTTCCTTGTTTCTCTACCATGGAGTTTTCTTCCCGTTCCTCTCAAAATCAGGGGGTGGTTGCTCAGGTCACCTGCTCTGTGGTAGGCACTGCAGCTGCTGGGGGGCCTAAATCTATTTCCTACTCTGTATGCAAAGACCTAAAACTTAGCAAATGGCAGTCTTCATGCAAGTGACATTTCCCTGTTTTTCGTGTTTGAATAATCTTTATTATCATTTGCATAAAGTCCTTCAGATCTCTCTTCACCATAATGCCCATGGGTTCTCTTAAAAACCTCTGAATTCCCTCTTTCGGTTCTCTTTCTGGAACATCCATTTCTGCTTTTGCATTTACATTTCTCTAACTTCTTTCCCAGAGCAGGCTGCTGCCTGACCCCATTCCTGGCAGCCCAGGGCTGGGCACTGAAAGGATATTCAACCGAATGAACTGCCTCCAGCAACAATCCTAGCACAGACAAAGTGCTTTGGGGTTTTCAGTGCAATTAGTAGAGCAAGTGGAGAAAGAGTCACAAAGGTGCTTTCATCCTTCAGCTCCAAAAAAGCGGATTCCAGGTGCTTTGACCTAATGGAGTGAAGCCTACCTCCATCGTTGGTTTGTCCTTTGTCCACAGGTGCCTAAATTCTCCTTGCAGCTTGCCAAGGCACCCAACTGCACCTACCTACTCATACGGATCATCATTCTGCAGGAGCCACACAAAGACAACACCGAGTCCACCCAATGCTGAAGACAGAGCAGCAGGAGGTCCATGTATTGGGCCCTGCCATTGACCTTACAGATACCTTTTATCTGACCATTATTTTGGGATAAGTTCTGTAATCTAACCACGGGAGCAGAGGCGGTGGCCTGTCCATGAGAGTACTTGTGCACAAACAAGGCCTGTGTCATCAGTTTTCCATTCTCCCCTATCTTTTCCTTCTCCTTCCCCTTGGGCTGCCTCCGGGTCCTAGTGGCCTTCATAAGGGATTTTTGTCATTTAACTAAAACTATTTTGTAGTTCAGGAACAAAATTATTCATTTTCAAAGCAATGACAAGTACAGTGATGTAAAATGGCTTACTGGTAGCAGCAGGGGAGAATCTCTACCTTGTTAGGTATCACTGGAGGAACATAAGGTCAGCATAAACCTTCATTGATTTTGCATAGGGCCGAGTCTGCCTTTCATTTCGTATCAATGAGTATGGAGATGAATTGAAACAGACCACTCAGCGCTGAAAGCACTTTAAGAAAGACATGCTGATGGTACACAGCAAGTGATCCAGCACTCCAGCAGAGTGCCAGGCTGTCCAACAGAATAACACAACATGAGATCAGACATTTCTGAACTATTTTGTCCCATTCATAGTTTCTCTGCTGTAATCCAGATCGCTTTTCGCAAAGTACCGTTGTCAAGCCCCGGTCTGAGACACAAAGTTTCTCAGGCACGATGATGAGCAAGCATAAAAGTAAAAGGGAAGCCTTCCGAATTTAAATACATTCCTGTAAATTTGGATGAGCCGAAGTCCTTCACCATAGCGAGGTCCACTGCAGCAGTCACAGACAGTAAAACTGCAATGGGAAAAAAATGGGTCAAAAACTTTGCATCATCCTTCTAAGACCATATTCACACGGACAGCAGTTCAACTTCCTCACTCACAAGCACAAATGAAAAATTATCTGGCCTCAGAACATCTGTGGCTCATCGCTGGATTCACGGGAAGGGAAGGGAAGGGAAGGGAAGGGAAGGGAAGGGAAGGGAAGGGAAGGGAAGGGAAGGGAAGGGAAGGGAAGGGAAGGGAAGGGAAGGGAAGGGAAGGGAAGGGAAGGGAAGGGAAGGAAGGGAAGGGAAGGGAAGGGAAGGGAAGGGAAGGGAAGGGAAGGGAAGGGAAGGGAAGGGAAGGGAAGGGAAGGGAAGGGAAGGGAAGGGAAACACCCCCATGTGCAGCCAGAACATGAAGATGCAACACACATTTTGTCTGGAGAATGGGTGGCCATGTAAAAAAACAGGAATATTAAATAGAAGAATTTGCATGCAGTGTCCAATAAATTTTAACTGTAATTTAATTTTCATACAGATATACACAACATCTGAACTCAGCATACATACATGGGCACTATTGTATACACCACAGTATGTAAGAGCATACCACTGACCAGCATCAATTTCATGTGAAACAGTGGACAAAGTAGTAACTTCCACACTCCTAACGCTTGTGGAATTACTCATCAGGGGCCAACTATGCATATTTCTTGCACACAATACTCCTATGGGGGGATCAAGTGAGCAGAGCATATTTCTGTTACTTACTCATCCAATATTTTTTCAATATCTTCTGTGATGTCTGTGTATCTTTCCTTTAGGTTATTTCTGGAGAAGCAAAGGGCAGCCAGATGAGTGAGCTTCTGAGGTTGGTTCTGCACCTTCTCATTCCATAACAAGGGGTGTATGAAGTTATTCTCTATTCTGAGGTATTTTAGTGGAAGATTCAAAACCCCAGATGGCAAAGCAGAGAGCTGGTTCCCTTCAGTGTTCAAACACTCGAGCTTCCTGCAATTTTAAGGACCACCAGGCATTTATTGATGGGCTGTTCACATTATATCCTACCTTGACCATGCTTATATAATTTCCTAATCCCCATTAGATGAACTACTGCACTGAGATGTGCATAAAATGCTCTGTGTTCCTCACAGTGCACTTCGTGTACTGGACACAACTGTAGATACAATATTTTTCTAATTATAGTTTAAATAACTGAGTTATCTTGTAAGGGTTCCATAGAGCTGGGTTTTAATTCTTGTCTAACCAACACTTCACACTGCTTGAAAGCCACCACACATGGTTTAGAAATGCATTTTCTTTTTCTTCATCATGCAAATCAAGTTTACGTAAACACATACAGTCCAAATGAAAGAATGATTATATTTTGCATGGGAAAGGTTGACTTACAGCTATCTTCAAGTGGCACAATTATACAACTGCCATCTACTGTTTCAGCTGAAATGAGCCTTTCACATAGACAGAAGAAAGGGAAGAGAGGGTGCAGCGCATATTCCCCATGTATTCACTGATACAATCAATATCCAAATATGATTTATGGTATTATGCTGTAGAGAACTAGTTTCATTTTATGTTGCTTACATACCTTAAGTTCTTGATGTCATTAGGAATAACTCTAATACCATTATAGGCAATGTCCAGATTCTGGAGATTTTCTAATAGAAACAAACTATAATAAAAGAAAAGACAATGATGAATTAGAAACCTAGATGAGAGAAACAAATAATATCACAGAATCATAATAATTTAGGCTGAATGGTACCTTTGAAGCTCATCTAGTCCAACCCTGGAGCTCAAATCATTCTTAATTATTGCACAGTGTGTAGGTCTCTGTTTTATTACCTGCTATGAACATGTATGGTGACTTAGCTTCTTTTCCACATCCAAAAATAGGGTTCAGCTCTTCTGTGAGCTGAAATGATCTCTAGAAGTATTCTCTCCACTCAGTGTGGATGCTGAGATGGGTGCCTTAATTAAATATCTAAAGCCGGGGGGATAAAGCTGGGTCTTAGCAATCCAAAATACTCTAGAAATGGAATTTTGCCTCTGTATTTCAGCATCTCAACAAGACAGTTATATTTTAGTTTATTGACTAAATTTTAAAATGCTACCTATTTTTATTGCTACACAAAAGCAGGCAGTAGAGCCAAGGATGGAAGCCACAAGGCCATTCTTCTTTAAAATATTTTTAGTCTATTTACTGAAAATGAGCTACAGCAGACTAACATATATAGATGTAGTGAAGATTCACAAGGCAAGGTATTTTAGCTCCTTCGATATTTCCATCTCCTAGTACTATGAAAAAGTCTTTTTGTTTGGGTTAAAGGAATGGCTAGAATCAAAATTAGTGAATGATTATAATGTATAAAAATGCCAAGACAGAAATCCTTGTTTGTGCCTGTAAATGTGGCAAATCTCTCGATTAATAAAAAATACCTTACCCAGATGGAAGATCTGATAGTAAATTGAAGGAAATTGTAAATTTCTTGAGTGACTTCAGTCGTTGAATGTCATTTGGGATTTTTCTGATGGGGTTGTTGCGGAGCACAAGCACTTGTAAAGATTTAATATTAAACACCTGAGAAGGGAAGGGGACAGGGACTGATAAAACCAACAGCTGTTTATTGTAAAGCATGGCACGGTTCTGTTATAAGTATTCTGCATTTCTAGTACCAGCAAACTATGCTGGAAGAACTAGGAAATAAATATTATAAGATTAGCTAATACAAGTACTGCATATGTAGATATAGCTAACTACTCAAAGTATTCCTGCAGATACAATATGAGACACCATTGTCAATCACTTTCCATATCACTTAAAACATTGTGATTGAGAATTGCAGGCAGAGCTGCTAGTGCTGCTGGCTAACACTGTCCAGCATTTCTCTTTATAAGCCTTATTTTTGCTCCTGACATTGCATTTTACCTTTTAGAGATTAAATTCTTCATTTCTATAATGTATGATTCAAAAATGTTTTTTGCTAATAAAGATATGAATGGAAAGCAGAGGAAAAATATTTTGTTTGGTCTGCATTTGAGAAGACCCTAAAAACCAACCTGATAAATATTCCTGGTTTTGAAAGGGCTACTGCAGTGTTTTTCAAATCATGGGTAAGAATGACAAAAAGGATAGTGAAAGTTTTCAAAAGAGATTGTTAACTACTATAAGCACCATTATTTAAGTTACTCATCTCATTTCTTAAGGTCTTGTACGCTTGGCTGCATAGAGATGGTGAGTCAGAAAGGCAGGGAGTAGGGAGGAACATATTTTGGAAAAAGTTTGAAAAATAGCATTTTAGCTCCACAGCTCAAGATACCTCTGCTGTTGAGGAAGACATCTGAAGGTCTAAACTGGTGCTGCTTTGAATGGGGGTTTGGACTAGAAGACTTCCAGAGCCCTTCAAGCCTGCATCTACAACTTCAAGTTGGCCAAGGACAGACTTCGCCATGGCAGGCACAGCCCTGGGCCTGAGCTGGAAAGACCATATAACCATGTAGCTACTCTTGCATCAGGTAGCTTGGCAATGTGTGTGTTATCCTGGACAATTCTTGTTTAAAACAAGAAGCAAGGAAATGCCCACAGTCCCCTAACGTGGACACATCTGTCTGCATCGTCATGAATTTGCTCAAACTACAAGTGTCTGAAAAAAATATATAGTCTGTATATGTCCACTAAACCTTTTCTAAATTTTAATAGCTCCTTATTCCTAGTGATTCTGTCCATGCTAAGACTGCTTGAATTTAGGTTTACCCAGTAACTGCAGGTTTTTGGCAGCTGCAGATCATGTCTGGATACCTTAAGCGAGTTGGGCAGACTGAAACTATTGGGAGTTGTAGTTACAGATTGCTGGGGGGAGAAGATGGATGAAGAGACCTGTGAGAGCAGACAGAGGCTTGGGAGGACAGCCATGAAGACTTCTGTGATTCTTCCCCTGATTCTTACTGACCCCAAATAACCAAAATGGTAAAGAATTTGAGTATTGGAAGTTATTACTTTTCATATCTGTGCTATTACATTTGCATTTAAATCACAATTCGCTGAAAGTTACTTTTAATATCTAACCTGTAAAATTTCATTCTTATAATATTTTCAATGGAAAATAAGCAGTACATACCTCCACAGGAAAGAAGAGTAAATTATTGAATGACAGGTTAAGGCAGACCAAGGTGTCCATTAAAGGGGTCAGGTCTGGAAGGTGAAACAAAAAGTAGGCCTAAAAGATATATAAAAAATGGGTCAGCTGTGTAAGGAAGCCTCTCAGCCTTTTCATTTAAATAAAAAAATTAAAATAAAATAAAATAAAATAAAATAAAATAAAATAAAATAAAATAAAATAAAATAAAATAAAATAAAATAAACAAACAAACATCCTTAAGAACAGTTCCTTGGGGCTCACAGATTTATCATGAAAGTCCAAAATATAACAATTTGATTTTCCTATGGTTGGAGTGAGCTTAAGCAGCATCACAGCCTGAAGGCCAAATTAGCATCTCCAAGCCCAGCCCGCCTTGCCTCTTGCCATGAATTGCTTCAATGTCATTCCTACTCCTTTCCATCACATCCAAATAACCTGTTCTGAAATAATTAAAAGGCATTCCCCGAAGCCTGCCATACTGGTGTCTTAATAGAGGGAACAATGACATACAGGGGGACAAGCCCTAACGCATTCAATGAATATGGAAAAGGGAGATAAATCGGGTGCAGTCTTGCCCACACTGCTTATTAGGTTGGGCCTTGCAACGAACCAGCCCAGCACTACAATACAGTTTTGTTGTAGAGGGAATTGTTTGTGCACACCAAGAAAAACTGGGGATGAATGAATATTTTTGCAATGTAGATGAACAGGGAAACATGTTTGCACAGAGGGGAACTAAGATACAGGCACACAAGATCTACACCTGCAGCCACTGAGAACACCAGGGTCCTCTCTCATTAGTGCTCTGGTTCAGGCTGCTTTCCTAATTGTGTGATAAAATAAGTTGCCCAGTTTTGTTGCTGCCTCTAAGCTCTGTGATTTTTGGCTTACATTTTCGTTTTATCCCACTCTAATGTTGTTCAAGCTGTGCTAGACTTTCTTTCATAACCTTCTTAGGGTGTACAAGATATATGAGCTGAGGAAGACTTGCTAAGTTCTGGAATAGACTATCTGTTAAAGGATCCAAAACACCCAAAACATGCAATACAAAACATCTCCAGACCCAGGCAGTGAAACTCTTGTTCATTTCATCATTCATTTACTAAATTCTTACTTTCATTTCTAACCTAAGAAACTTTGCACAAATCTCTGCTAGGAGAGATTTATTTATCATTATTCTGACATCTCAGGAAAAGCATAAAGTTATTGTTACACACTGCCTGAAACTACATAGATGCTGAGATAATATTTAATTAGTGTCACACACAATCTCAAATACAGTTTAAGATATAAATCTAGCATCTGGTTCCTTGCAAGCCAGAATTAATTAATAATTTTCATGACAGATAAACAGTAAAGTATATCTACATAACACACACTACCTACTAAATTGCCTGTAGTCATATCAAATCTAATTCTAAGGATTACAATACAAAACAATCTAAGACATAATAAATAGGTACATGAATATAAATAATGAGGATTATTTGAGTTCAGAATTTTCTCAGATTCCTGGAATCTGTTTTGCAAGAAAAACAATGTTTCATCTGAAGATTTCTCATGGTTATGCTACTACTAAATTGTCTATATTTCATTAAATTAAAAAAAAATAAAAAAATGAAAATTGTTCTGGATGTTAACAAAAACCTGCAAAATGTAATTCTAAATATGGAAAATATTTCCAGCAAAAAATGAAAATCCACTGCAGATGTTCCCACTGGTAGTTGTGAAATATTCCAGAGATGAGCAAGGTAGTTTGAGATACTGGAAGGATTTTGTCATGGAGTTCACATTTGTTATGGTGACGAATTGTTTCAAATTGGGTAGTTCATGAACAACAGATAAGAGCTCTCAAATATCAGTTCCTCATATGGAACAAAGTTCACTGATTTAGGAAACAGCTGCGACAATTCTTTCTGATTTTAAGTAACTGTCCTTGAGGATATAGAAGCAAAAACAGAAGCACTTTGTCTTCTAAGCAATATGATAACCCTGAGAACCAATATCTTGACATTTACTGAGCTGTGTGAATTGTGGTGGCTCCGCTTCACGTGCAGGTCCTTCCCTTTTTCATTTCACAGCATTTCTGTTTTTGAGCGTGTGAATGATGAGAGTATCTAAAACAGCAGCAAACCCTGGAAATTTGTCCTCCTTCAGCCTAAACCAGATGAACGCATCAGGATTCCTTGGTGGGCTTAGGCAGGAGAGCTGGCAGTCAGTGGTGTGGAGAAGACGAATTTCTGGCCTCCTCCTTTCTTCCGGAGTGCTCTGGAGTCAGCAGCTCCTGGGCCCTGTGCAGCAGGGGGAGTTTGGCTCTTTCATCACATTCCCCATTCAGACAAAGCTCTTTTCCTTGACTCCTCAAGGACAAGACAGTGGGCTGGATGCTTTGGTCCCCATCTGCTGATAGGATCATAAGAGCTTAAAAGTCAGGCAAATTTAGAGTCATGTGTCTCTAACAACAATCTGTGGGCAGGTACCACTTAGTCAAAGGACTGCTTTTTGCTGGAGCTTCTAATTACATCTTCAAGCACAAAAGCAAGACTTAGTGCAGAGTTGCATGAAAACCTGTTTTCATATCAAATATGTTTCTGAGACACTGAAAATATTTCCTGTTCCCAATAGAAAGCACTGTCAATAACATTTAGTACTGCTTTATATTCAGCAAATTTAAATTTCTTGATGACTCAGAAAGATACTAGTTTTATTTCATCCTTTTATGAACCTACAAACATTTTTTTTAATAAATAATCCAACATGTTAAACAAAAGATGCCTTAGACAAATAAAAAAATGTGTTTTGCGAAAGAGAAATGGAAGAAAATTGGAAGTTTTGACAACTTCTGTAAATCAATCCATTGCAAAATTTTGGACTGTTTTTCTTCAATGGTGGCCAGGAAATAGGTGGAACACCAGAGCACTTACTCTGAACTGAGGCCCCTCCCCAGTTTTCATGTTGATTTTAAAGTCTGGCATGACTCTTGTGTATTGATCATGCAAATCCTTTACACACAGATCCTCACGGCTGTACAGCATACCAGAACACAGCAACCCAGATTTCTGGAACTTTTAGACACAGTGAATTTCCAGGAACAGAACTTCAACCTCAGAGAAGCATCAGGTCTCTCAGTTCTCTCATAGATAAAAAAAAAAAAAAGGTGTAATATGACAAATCTTCAAATTTCTGTTATTGGAGCTCTCAGCAGACCTGCACAGATCATTGCACGCACAAGATCGCAGTAAAAGGAATTGAATACTTATGGCTAATTTACACAGAGCATTTGCTTAAGAGTGAGGTGTATTGCACAATGCTGTGATATTTAACTAGTCTGAAGTAGTTTAAAATAATTCAAGTAGCTACCCTCCAAAAAGTGTGAATGTAAAGAAGGTTTCACCAGTGATGACCATGAACCAAGAATCTTTTTAGTATGTGGCGATGCCTCACTGCATGCTAAAAATAACCTGACAAGGCTTGTCTTTCCCCAGTGAGACCTCTCAAAATGTCAGCAAAATGACAGCAATGTCAGCAAGTAATTCTCTTAACAATTACTAGGTAAAATGTAGATAAGTTGAATAAGGAGGAAGTGTTGTCCGAGGATCTCAGCTCTCAGCAGGTAAAGTGCAGAGTAGCTCCATTGATTCGGATGCTTTGGACATGATTTATACAGCTGAGGAGTTTATATGCCGTACGCTTTTCAGCAAAGAGAAAAAAGCTCTATAAAGACTTTTTTTTTCTACACCCATTATGGGGTATTGCGGGCAAGAAGGTGAAAAATCAATAATTGTTTTTTATAGTACCGAGAAAGAGAACTGTCAGCACTGTTTGCTCATGATGGTGGTTCTGGTATTTCCAACTCTGTTACTGCCACTTTCCATTTTGATGAAACTTGCAGAAATGGATAATAAAGTGACATAAACTGTTTGATTTGATAATGACACATCTTATGCATATGGTCGCCGTGAACTTCAAAATGAATAGGAATCAGACAAAATCTGTACCATATTGATAACAGGCAAACAACTCGGGGTACTTCTTGTCACGTCTTCCAAAGAGCCACATCACAGCGTGACATTTTCAGATACTGAGCAAGTTCACAGTGAATACTGACATTTCAACAGGTTTTCTTGATGACAGAACAGGAGAGAAAACAATAATACCAATTATTTCAAGATCATAGTAAAAGGAATTGAATACTTATGGTTAATTTACACAGATCTTTTGCTTAAGAGTGAGGTGCATTTAAAGTGTATTCAGTTAGTATTATTCCCAAAGTCCCTGATCAATTTTTCCTGATCAACCTTCTGACTGGATATATTTATTCTGAGATGTTAAAGTTGATACATGAAACCCATTGTCTACCTCCAAGAAGGACTTTGCTTATCCAGATATCAACTGCTACTCCAACGGAATCCTGCAGCAGACAGTGGGGGGAAGCCTACAAACCATTTATAGAGCAGTGGCTTAGAAAAATATTTCCATATGCTAATTTATGGACAGAAACAAAAATTCTGCCAGAGAATCCTATGTAGAAATTTGGTGAAGCCTTCTCTGTCATGTTCAACTAGGAGACTACAACTGCTGGTTCAGACCCATCAAGGGACAAAATTTAGATCAGCAGACAAATTCCTAGAAACCCCAAAATATTAAACCTCTGCTGTTCCTTACCAAAAGCAGAAGGAGCCTTTTCTCATTGTCCACATCTGACAACTCCTTTGCCCGGTTCTGACATAATTTAGGTTAAATTACAAACACTTTGGTAGATGATAAAGCGTGGAGCAAGTGCCATGAAAATTATGCAGGATGCATCAGAAAGAAAATAAGACACAGTGAACATACAAGAGAAATGGGGAAAGAAAGTGAGATAGAAGAAGAAATAAACAGTGGAAAATGTAGGCATGGGAACTACAGAAGAAAAGCATGTAAAACAGCTATCCGTACAGCTGCTCTACTGTTAAAAAAAAAGATTTTTAAGTCATTCCAGGCATTTCTTTTCTCATGCAGTTGTCCAGGAAGAATTTTAAGATGACTTTTTCTGTGGATGAAGTTACAAAGCCAAAAGGTACTTTGAATGAAAGCTTCTCTTAAGCACAGCAACGTTAGTGCATCTTTAAATGATTTACCTGCAGGCTGAGAGCAGTCTTCCGATGCAAGGAGCAATGCCATACTTTCACTTGGGATCTGAACATCAGTTTTTCCTCTTCATCTTGCTTGCTTGCTATAAAGTGGAAACTGGTTTCCCAAGCATCGTCCACACTATTGCCGTCAGGGGCATCATTAGAGTCTGTGATATGAAAAAGGATGCCAAGCATTACAGAATTTCTTAGAGGAAAGCAAACATTAGAAAATAAAGACTGAATAAGAGGTGTTCAGCAAACCTCCTAAATCTAATCATTTCGATTCTCTGTTGCCATACTCAGATGAGATTTTCACATAGTAATTAATTTAACTCATGAATATCTGCATAAAAATATAAAGATTTCAGGGTCACAGGGAGTAGATTTGGATTACGGCCTACAGTAATGGCAGCAGTTTGCCTCCTTCCACAGTTACCATTTGGAGTGATGGAGACTACAGGGTTCTCATTGTGCAGAACTGAACCCAACACGAAAGGGTTCAGAAGTGGAATCTTTCTCCCAAGTACTTTAGGTCTTACACCTTCAACCTCATTGTCACTTCAAAGCCAAGCCAAGATTGCAAATGATTTTGTTACACTATAATTTATTTTGCTAATGCAACAGCATGTAGTGGTAGTCCCATACTGTCTGGAGTTGTCATGGCACATTTCTGAGAATCTGATTTCCCGAAGTGCCTCTTTATGACTGTCACCCCATGCTGTTCCTCTGGTTTCATCTCCCAAAACTGACATATATCTTGTTCCTACCTGTAAAGGGTCCTTCTTCTCTTCCAGGTTCAGTTAGCCTTACATAGTGTATAATATATGCTTTTTCTTTCTTTTGTTCTTGCAAAAGTTGCTCTGGTGAACCAGATTTTCTAATTTTCTCGTGTGAGGTGATTTCTAAAGAAAAAGCAACAGCAGAAGACATTGCACACAAGAAATACAATCCTTAATCCAAATGACTCATAATTTTATTGTGTTAAAGCCTTGTACATTGTACAAATGCAGTAAGAAAGACCTCCTGACCACCTCATTTGGCCTCAGCTGGAGTGTATCACTATCTGTCTTACACCGGGGAGCCCCAAGTTGGACAGAGTACTCCCGACGTGGTTTAAGAAGTATTGAATATGAGGTTACGGACACTTCCCTTGACTTGCTGGCTACGTTTGGTTTAATACAGCCAGTATGTGGTTGGCCATCTTTGCCACAAGGACATGATGCTGGGTCATGTTCAGCTTGTCATCACCAGAACCCCTGGTGTTTCTGTGCAAAGACACTTTACAGCCCGTACTGGTGCTAAGGGGTAATTACGTCCCAGGAAATCTGAGCCTAAGATTGTGTTGTTTATCGTAAAAAGGTTTATATTTAAACAACTACAAAATAGTTTCACAAAAAAAGCATTCTCAGCATTAAAACTTGAGATCAAATACTAATAGGGCTGACCACTAGCAGGAGATAAATAAATATACAGCTTAAAAGCTGCACACACTCATGTACTCCTTCTCTCAATCAATCTGAAGGAACACCTCCCTCTAAGCCACAGTCACCAGATCTGTGTCTGTGGTGTAAGCAACCAGTACGGAGCCTCAGCACTGGTTACAGTGAACAGCTATGAGTTTCTGTGCCTAAAATAGACCTGCTATGGTCTGCTCCTTCTGCAGCGGGCCGTGGGTAATATGACAGAAAGCATAAGCCAGCAGATGACACTGCAAAGCTCTATTTTACTATAAATGGTCAAAAAGTAGACATTTGTTTTGTGCTTCATTCATTCCACCCATCTTAGGTGTTTACCTGGGGTTAGTAAAACTTGCCTTCTGGAAGTTTCTGTCCCTCTCTCCATAGCTCAAGGCAGAAGCATGCATTACTAGTCATGATTTGGGATTTGAAGTTAGGAGATATGAACTTCCCCCTTGAGGTTTCAGTTTCAGTTCAGTGCAGGAGACTCTGCACTGTCACTCAAGGTAGCAGCGCTTGGCCAACCTCAAAGATTATTATTTTTTTTAATGTTTTGGCCAACACCCACAGGCAGGAAGAAAAAGGGATGCACCTGCCTGAGAAACAGCGGGAGAAGGGGACACTACAGCGTCAGCTGTTCCCAGCTCTGATGATGCTCCTCAAAGGGACTGGAGAGGCTGAGAAAAGGCCCCAGAAAATACTTTGGATTTATTATACTTTTCTTCTTTCCAATGCAGCTGAAAAGAAACACATCAAAGTACCCTTCTAACAAAATACCTTTCCAGAAGGGTGAAACCTCCATGTGTTACCATCCATTTCCTCAAAACCACCTGTCTAGTTCCTAGTGACACAGCACCTGTATTCCCACCCATGCAGAGTTTGGACAAGTGGTGTGCTCAGGCTATTTAATCTAAAGAAAAGCCTGTGGCAACCACAAAATGCTGCTTTTATACTTCCACAAGTATAGGACTGGATACAAATAGGAACATGAATGCTACAGTCAGGTGTCTGTCACCGCATCTCATCAGAAAAATTGAAGTTCTACTTTTTCCTTCCAAAATGTACATTTCTCAAACTCTGACCACGGTGAACAGAGTTCCTGCCAGCGGAATAGATGCTCTCTTCAAGTTGTGTCCATGCAAGCTGTGTGACAGAACCCGTCAGCAATGAGAGTCACTTCCCCCGTACCAAAGCACATGTAAACCCCAAGTGTGATGATTTCTTGAGACTGTGCTTTCACTTTATCACCACACACCAAAACACCATTTCCACTGTGAATGATTCACGGTGGAAGCACAGAAATAACTGTGAACCTGCTTCTAGACCACCACAGCAGAAGGATGAGGAAAACCCCTCTTCCCATAGCACAGAGCTACTCACTACCCAGGAGTGGACAAATGGTACCCAGGAACTCTACATTTGAGACTTGGCTACCAGAGAGCCAAATACATCTAATGTGAAGTAATTAAAAAAATGTCAACTTGTGGCAGCACCTCCATGAATCTAAATCCAGTTGTGCAACCCTGCTTCACCATCAACGCATCTCAAGATGGAACCCATGGGGAAAATTTTCTCTACTATCACTGTGACGTTTCTGCTGGAAGGAGACCTGGTTCAGAAGCACTGACAAACCCGTGGTGTACTACACATAGTCCTCTGGGAAGGCAGGACTGTGGTTGCCCTTGGAGGTGTTCATCCCTCTTCCTCCAGCTCGGGCACAACCTCTAGTGCTGAGGTTTCATGCTATGATGGGACTGGAAGCAACACAAATAGAGCTTTTTTTAAAAAAAAATGGATAAATTTCTTGATCTCATCTGTAGCATGGCCACATAAGCACTAGTTTCAGTGCAGTTGTAGACGTAGATGGTAAATGGTTGTGAAGGGGAAGAAACAAGATGCCAGTATTTATTTTTAAACCTGCTAAACATGAGACCTGCTTAACATTTAAACCTGCTTAACACGGCTGGAGCAGCAGCACAATGCACCAAGAACACTCAGTGCTCTGTGGGTAGGAAGCCTGGGCTTACAGAAACTTGACATAAGCTCATTCTCTCTGTATGCATTTTCAAAGATTTACAGCATGGGACTTTTCACGGTCCCCTTTTACTATAATTTATAATTAATTTACACATTTACATTTAAATCATCGTTTGCTGTAATCTGAAAACACAACATTTAATTTAGTTAGCACAAGCTGTAATTCTCCACTGACTATTTCTCAACTAATGAGGACAAATTCCAAGACCCACACAAATAAAAACCCACACATAAATGAAGGTTAGTTGTTGTTGTTGTTGTTGTTGTTTTTGTTTGTTTTTCTCCCTGCAAGAGATGTTTAGGAAAATCTCACAATAAAACACTGTACCAACAAAAAATACTATGATATTTAATATAAATTACCTAGGATTTTCTGTTGCTCTGGCTTTCTTGTTTCAACTACTGGTAAATCGATATCAGACAACATCACTGTGTTAACTTCAGTCTGCAGGCTCCTGTTTTCAGTCATTAATTTGCTACTGAGGACTTCACAGTTGTAGTGGGAAACAAGTGGCTTTTTGAGCGTTGTCATCAAAGGCAGATGGTGAAAGGATGAACCTGCAGCTAGACTTTCCTGTGTAAATACAGGAGGAGTGAAATGGTCGGGGACAGTGCTCTGAAATTCTTGGTGCTTCACACAAGAGGATTTATGATTTTTGCAAAAGGCAAAGTTATCAGGCAAACTGAGATTTTTAATAGCAATAAAATTGCTCCTAGGAGTTTGGACAGAAAGGACGTTTTCCTGTTCACTCTGGTTTGGCATTTGGCTGCTTGCGTAGACAGGAATAATTTCATATTGGTCACGGAATTTCCTTTGGTCATGCAATCCTGTAGCTTTGGGCTGGATCTCTATTTGCCCATGGTTACTATCTTGCTTAAGCTGACCTACACGTCTGTGTTGGAAATGCATTGGGCAAGAAGAAACGAGTTCAGACGGGGGTTGGGTACTGCCAGGTAGGAACTGAGCCTGAAGGAGGTCTTTGAGTTGGACTTGTGTTTGATCGTGGCAAATCTGATGAATAGACAGAAACGTATCTTTGTGCTGGATTTGCAGCAGACTTTGGGACATCTGACCATGGCTGAGGGAAGCATCCTTCTGCTTGACTTGCCCTTGAGCACTGACATGACCTCCAGACACTGCTTTTCTAGTTTCATCATTTGTACTCTTCATCACTCTACTTAGATATCGTCCAGAAACCTTGCCTGTTAACGACAAAAGAAAAAATAAAAGACATTTAGAATGATGCATACTCTGGCGTTCTTTTCAAGGAAAAGTTTGTGTGACAAATCTCCATGCCCTTTAAAGATTTTTCTTCAGAGGAAATGAACAAATGGTTAAGACTAAGCATCTCAGCATTACCAATCACACAATAAGTTCGTATTTTTTTCCACACAAACAGAATTCACCTATACACTATATTGAATGACACGCAGCATGCAGTAGAAGGGTTAGATAACAAGCAGGACAGAAAGGGCAGGTTTTTTTACAAAAGGGCAGGTGAGTTATGTAGCTTAAGGAAAAATGAATGAGCAACGTTCTGCTGCATGTGAAATTCGTGGCCACCAGGTCCCTATTTAGGGATCCTGCATCTGTTCTGCTAGGTGCAACATGACAAGGCAATGAGAGCTGTGGGAAGGAGATGGGATTCCTTCAGTGAATGCTCCTCTTTCTGCTCTATTCTGTTCCAGGTATAATCTAAATCCCATGTTAACGCTACTGAAAAGGAAGGGGGAAAACATTTAGGAAAGCTCCATATCAAAAAAGCACCATGGAGTGGACTTGTGGCCAAGTCAGTTGTGGCCAAGCTGTGAAAGGAACAAGGAAATCAGTTTCTGGAGATTGTCTTAAAAATAAGTGCAGGATCTTTTCCAAGCTGTAGACAGCTTCAGAGAATTTATCATTCTTTTGCAGAAGCACTTCTATTTTGAGTCTGGATTCTTTTTTTCTGCTGTTGGGCACCCAGCCAAAACAGGTTCAGAAGCCTGTCTGCTCCTTGGTCCTGTTAATAATACAATAGGATATATAATTCCTCTCTTTGGGAGGGCAGAAAGACCCCTCAGAGAGTGAACCAGATCTTCGGCCAGCTAAACAACTCACTGGAATTGCTAACCTCTCTTCATTGACTACTGAGAGGCTTAGAAATATAATTTACCTAGCTTATTCACCTCAGTTCAATGAGTAGCATGCGTGATGGGATGGTGCTGAGCACTTGTGGTCCCACACCACTGAGAGCTCATTTCATACTCCTCACGTGTGAGACAGACTTTGCTACTAGGGCTATCCCTAAGACCTCATTCTGGAGGTCTGTTGGCTCCTTAGCTAGTTCCCAGTTTCCAACAGTACCACACCCAGCAGTCATTTAGCCCTGGGCATTTTTATCAACAAAGAAATACTTGGTAAATGACCTTCGTTCAGCCTGTGCAGTTCCACAAGCTTGGTGCTCTGTTTGCTTTCCTAGGGACACTCATTGTCAGGGTCCTGCTGAGGGAGAAATCATTCTCTACAGCTCTTCGCTACAGCTCAGCTCTCAAAGAAAGCTGGGACTATTCTGTGGGCTCATCTCCCTGGCTTTCGTGCCCCCCAGCATTGTGGTTGACCACTTCAAGCTCTCTACCAGGCACAGGCCACCACCACAACTCCCTGAAATTTCTTCTGCATTGTCAGCCTACTGCTTAATTGTGTTACATCCTTCCCTTTCTACAGTCCTCTGCAGGGGAAGACACTCATGCAACACCATTGAGGCTCATCTTTTTTTCAGAGCTCAGAACTCCTGGTCCCAGGTCTCAGTCTCTTCATGAAGCACGAATCAAGTCCGTCCCCCAAGACGATCAAATCATCGTTGCCGAAGAGCTGCTTTTTGATCAATGCTCATGCTGCTGCACAAGTATCTATCACATGCAATGGTTGCACTTGGAGAAATGATCCTTGAACAAACTTTACTGTGCAGCTCGTAGATTCTTGTCAGGTGTACTATATAAATACGCAATCTATAAATAGCACCCATCACTAATCATCGTGCTCTACTACAAGGAGAGCCATCATAATAAAACTTTGTTTTGGGATAAAAGGTTTATCTATCACTTTTAAAATGGTTTAAATCACTGAAGCACAGCTCTGGTACTGAGCCAGAAATATTTACATCTGTTTCGGCAGCGCCAGGCTGTGTTGTATAGAAATAGATTGTACCAGCCCTTCAAAATAATCTTCAGAAGGGCCTCATCATATCAAAGGATCGATCTTCACATCTTCGAAGTTTTCAACCTTATTTCTCTAATTTAATTCTCTTTAATATTTTTAATACTGTTATAAAGGTATTATTCTTGATATATTATTGTTGTTCCTTTTAAGTTAGTGTTAAATATTCATTAATAACAAATATGGTATGACAGTGTTCTAACAAAAAACAGTTGTAACAAGTCTGTAAGTCAAACATCAAAAAAATTATTATTTTTTTTTCTTTCTGGTGGTCTGTCTTGGTGATCATGTGAAGATTGAGCAGTTCTAGCTATTTAGATACTCTAACAGGAGATGTTTTAGATACTTTAGGAGGTTGTATGGAATGTAGAGGAAAATAAAAAATAACAGCTTGCTTTGGTTTCTTTAGCCCAGTTTGTAAGGACAGCACTGTTCTTTCATGTGACCTTTATTCTTTCATATTACATTTATTCTAACATAAAATTGACAAAATGCTGTACACCATACTTCTACAGCAGATCCTGGGGCATTGTAGTTTTGACTGTAGCCAGTTAATAAGTTAGCATCCTTCTTTACAGATCTGTTTTCGGTATTGGTGCCTAGTCTCCATTTTTTATTTATTTTTCATCACTTATGTTAAAAATATTTTGATTATAGATCATGTTATTGTTTTTCATTTTTATTTTTAAATGTTAGTGCTTAAATATTTAATCACTAGCTACTTTATATAAACTGGAAAGAGCTTTTCATTCACGTATACTGGCACACAAAATGTCTATTTATTTCTGAACCATACTGCACCACAAGTCCTTTGTTATAAAATAAGACTTCCTGGATGCCTTTAAAATAATATAAGCCAATATTTGTCTTTGAACATGAATGTATATTCTGAGAAGACCAGGACCATCCTCCCCGAACATGTTTCTTCATTTTGTCTGAATCGAAGTTGTATCTCACATCCCCTATGGTATGAATTGATCTGTTTCAATCTAGCTTTTCTTGAAACCAGCATTTTCTCATGTTTCATTGTATATTTTCAGATGAGCCTCTATTGTCCAGTAGGTAGTGTTCGAGTCTGACAGGTAGAAGACTCAGGTTCCAGCACACGCCCCAGTCACCCTTCCACTATTTTACATGAACAGCCTCGCAAAGAGATACAAGTCACACGGATCACCATGAAGTCTTAATCACAAGGCTTTGCACTGGTTGCTTACAACATTTGCTGACAAGGGTTATGCAGATGAGATTTATTGTTTGCTGAACAGCCATAGCAATTAGAAATAGAGACAGCACATTTTGTGCTGGGGTAAGAGGTTGGCAGGCTAGCATCAGCTCAAGTTAATGTGTCTGCAGTGCACATTAGCATATGGAGCCTGTTCTAGATCTCTGACAGCACTATCCAGGAGCTTCAGCATTAGAACTGGCTGACTGGAGCCAGTGTGGGTATCTCCAAGCACTCCACTGAGTATTCATAGATTAACCAATAGATCCATCTTCTTCTGTGTTAATTTTAGAGAGCACATGGAATCTGAAACTATGCACTATACGATCTATTTCTGTACAATTTACCTTTACCAACCTTCTCCCTTGGTGTAGATAGCTTAGATGGCAGCTTAGGAGGCAGAGGTCTACGAAGTAGTTTCGGCTGTTCATCCATTTTCTGCTTTGCCTCTGATCCTGACAGATGACTGCAGAGGTTTCAAAAAAATAAAAATAAATAAATAAATAAATCTGACAAGTCAAAACAAAAGACACAGGCATTTCCAGTTTAATGTGCTGAACTATTAATGTCTGCTCGTATAAAATGGGTGATAGGAGAATCATAAAACAGGACAAGTAGCCAAAAAGGGAGATTTGTTCTCTTAGTGACTGATTCAGCAGTTTTTCTAATTATCATTAGTGTTTCAGGAAATAAATCAGTGATATTATTAAAAAAAAATAAATCTGAAAGAGCTATTCTATTAACCTTGAAACGTTTGCATTAAAGAATGATTTTCAGCACCTCTGTCACAGGAGGTGAAGCAATCAGAGCTTCTCATCTCTGAGGAAAAGGAGGCACAGGAAATTAGAGAAACACCCCACGTTAAGCATTCTGAAATCTCCCGGAAACAGGTTTTCTGCTGCATAAACAGATTTAATAAGAGCAACAGTTAACCCTGGTAAAAAGGGGAAAAAAAAAGGCCAAGTGTGCAAATAGCTTCTGTCTTCTTATTAGTTCATGAATGCCCGTAATGATACTGAATTCAATCACAAAACTACTAATTTGGTGTCAGAAGTCCACTCATTAGTAGCTAAGTTTAGCACATTTCTGATTTCCAGTAATTTTCAAGATTATCTATGTCCCAAGTTACAGGGCTTAGGCTTTTTAATTTTTTGGTGTAGGACTAATGACATGTAAGACATCACACACTATAAAGACTCTGCCCTAAAGAACTTGAAATCAGAAGGGGAACACAAAAGACAAACCAATGATGAAAGTGACTTTGAAGAGAAACTAAAAGTGCAATCATCAGGAAGCTATTGGCTCACAGGAAGATACACAAAGATTAAGAAAATTCTCACATACAGTTAGAAACAACGGATCTGTAGGCAAAGAAAAAAAAGTTTCAAATATTTATTGGTAAAGTACATAAACTTGAGACTTCAGTACAACTTTGCATGTGGACAAGATTCACTTAAATAAAGTGCAGCATTATGCAAATTGTGATGAAAAGAACAAAAATATGCATTGAAGAATGAACACAGTCCTGAAGCACGTAAGGAGGTCCAAGATCAGATTTGAGACAGCTTATGGACTAGTAACTACACTGACTTACGTGGTACCTAGAACGAAATAAGGGGATGGAGAAAGGAAGAAGCAGGAGAAGCTTAAAAAGGGGGCCTGGAGTTCAATTTTTATGTTGAGTTTAAATGGTCGAATATCACAGGATGAGCTACCACTGCACAAAAACAACCAGAATGTGGCATGGTTCACACCCACTAGAGGCACAGTAGGAACATAAACAAACAAAAAACCTGGACAACAGAAAAAAACACACAAGGCAGGAATTATTACAAAGCCAAAGCTGAATTTCAAGAACAGGAGAAAAACACTCCATGGCTATGTCTGGTCTTCCCAGGTGATACATTGGGATATCATCGTAGCCTTTCACTCTTCAGGATAGGGCTTCTGCCTGGCACCTGCCACATAGATCAAAATAATTCATGTTGGGCCAGGAGGGTTGACTACAAGGTCCGAGCAGGTTACTCTTACTAGTAGAGTTGCAAAGAGTCTGATCTTGAAAACCTCCAAGGATGGAGACCTCCCAACCCTCTGGGCAACCTCTGCACCTCCTTCCAACGCTGATATAAAAATCGAGACGTAGAATTCATACCCGGAAAACGCACACATCTAAACATAGAAATATGTTCTTGGTTTCTTTCCTGTGTAGGCAGCCTGGGTTGAAGCAGGCTGGCAGGTCGAGGAGGGAGAGAAATGCTCTCAGACTTAGTTAAGAAGGAATCATCAGTGCCTTGAGCTCAGACAAGAAACCCTGCTGTTTTTGGCAGGGCTGGATGCAAGAGTTGTTCCAGATGCTCAAGACAGGAAAGATAAAGACAAAGGGAGCGAGAACTTGATTTTCTCATGAGATAACACCGGCCACTATAAATAGCCAAATTCTAGGTAAAAATCCAAGTGAGAGCAGAAGCAAGAAGTTGAAAGACTGTGGCCACAAAAACACGGCTGTGGTTGCGACTGTAGGGCTAATTTAGCTCGGGAGAGCAGTCAGCAGAGCCAACGATGCTGAAGACGGGAAGGAGCACATCAGAAGCGGGGAAATTCAGCCTGGTGAAGGCAGAGACCTTGCGATAGCAGCAAAGCCAAGGGCTGGAGAAGGGGAGACAATTTATGGACGTGTCATGAAGAGAGATTTTAGACGAGGATCCAAGGAAGCCTTAGATGTAGCTACCTCCTACCCTGACCACAACAAATTTTTGTGGTTCACCCATTCCTGGCCACTATGTGCACCCCAATAAGCCCCCCAGGCACCCCCCTCCCCATGAGCAGCCCCCCGCACCCTGCTGGGCGGGGGCTTCCCCTCCGCCACACAAAATGGCGGACACCCTCCCGCCACGGGGGGGGCCCCCACAGTTAGAACGCGGTGGGCGGGGCTTAGCGACGGGGGCGTGGCCTAACAACAAAGGGGGCGGGGTTTCGGCGGGATGGGGGCGTGGCTTAGCGGCAAAGGGGGCGTGGCCTGGCGTGGCGCCGGCGGGAACTGGCAGCGTGGCCGCGGCAGCCCGCCCGCCCCCCGCCGGCACCGCCTGCCGCAGCGTGCCTCCTCGCCGGTAATTACCCTCGCTGCCTGTTCTTATTTATCACTATTCTTATTCTTATTTTATCATTTTTATTTTCTACGAGGGGGGAGGAAATTCAATTAATTAATTAAATTATTAAATTAATTTAAAGCGAGCCGCCGGGCGCTCGCACCGCTGTGCCGGTCCCGCTGTTTGTAGGGTCGGGGCGGCTGGGAGCGTGTGCCGGAGCCCCCCCCGGGTTGGCATCGAGCTGGATGGAGCTGCAATATAGCAGAGGCATCGCGGGGGGTGGAAGCGCCGTGCCCCCCAGTGCCCGTCCCCGCAGGGATGGGGGTGCGGTGCCAGCCGGGGCGAGGGGGGGCAGAGCCCGTCGGTGAGCCTCGGAGGCTGGGTTGGTGCTGGGAGATCCGGCACTGCAGCCCCGAGGTGGGCAGCCCCCCGTGGATGAGGTGCGATGGAGGTGTCGGTGGAATAAAGTCAGTTTTGAAGGGTTTGGAAATAGGGGAGAGGGTAAAGAGGGGGCCAGGAGGGTTTGGAGGCAGGGGGAGATGCTCTGAGCATCTCTATGTGCTGAAGGCAGGTTGTGTTTCGGGACTGATGAGTAGCCTGTATCTGGGTTGTGCCAACGCTACCCACCCACCATCATCTCCCGTGTCAGAAAGTACTTAGCCGATACCTTCAATCCTAGTATTTATTTCTTAAATTCCTTTTTGTCCACAGGGTCCCACTAAAGACAACTTCTTTATAAGCAGTAATAGTTTGGAGAATATCTGAAGGTCATTTCTTTTGACTCACTATGGAAATGAAGAAGCTGTTTTGCATGTTGCAGATGACTCTGCTGTTTGTCCCCTCTCTGCAAGGTTATAACGTTTTCCTACCAGACTGGCAGCAATCAATGTCCCTGTCTTGCCTCTGCTTCTGCTCCTCCCTTGTGCATATCGCGCTGCGTAAAGGTTAGTGAGTGGAGTAGGCTGAGGGAGAAATTTGGGTCTCTTTCTACGGAAGAAGCCGTGTAAATGAAATCAAAGGTATGGCTGCAGCCCGCATAGCAGGCACCAGCGAGGAATTATTTACGTAACGCACCAAGGCATTTACATTTTCTTAACGTAGTCATCACTCAAGGATCGATCCTGTGCCCGAGTGATTTATTGGATCGTTTGCTTCCGTGCTTGGCGTTACAAGCTGAGAAGCAAAGTGGCACAGCTAAGAAATACCTCTGATGTCCACGCCGTGAGCCCTCCCGTGTTAGACTGTAAGCTCTTTTGAGCAGGTCTGGTGGTGGCACCATCAGCACCACAGCAGTGTTGGTGGCATCCCCACCCAGGTGTGGCCACCGGGGGCCCGAGGTCTGCCTGGTGGGACACCCCACCTCCAGCTCTATCACCCCATTCTGTGGGAGGCAGCACGGGGGTGGCTGATGGGTGCCTTGGGGTCTGGAGGTAGGGTAGGACCAGGGTGAGCATCCAGACCTGGGAGCACATCTGGGCTCCCGAATCCTCTGGTTGGATGCAGGCATATGTGCTGAAGATGATGCCCATGAGGAAGGCTAACCAGAAAGAGACCGGAGTCCTCCTGCTGAAAGATTTCAAGTGTGTTTGTACTGTTGATGACTGTATTGGCTTGCAGTCTTCCCATTGAGTTAAATGTGAGGTTTTTGTGACTGGCAGTAGGCATAATCCAACAAACCCTAGCCAAAATTGGTAATTTTTCTTTGCTTGAGCAGGGTTCGTAGTTTTGCTAACATCCACTGAGCCAGGTGTAGCTGATGGTGAAGCAGGTGATGGTAGCACGGTGGTGTGACCCCAGTGGCCGAGGTGTACTGGCTCCTGCCAGGCTGGAGGGGTCCTTTTGGGCAGTGCCACTGGTCTGTCTGGGTTGACTGGTTGGATGGTGTGTCTGCAAGCTGCCTTCAAAATTATCCCTCTGTTCTAATGATCATTAAGATGCACTAATTGTGAGTGAGGAGGTCAACAACAGCCCTGTAATAAATCTACATGTTGTTCCCGAGTTAGAAAACAAGGTGCAGCTCCCTTTCCACAGTGCTTCCTTTCTGCTAGTGCCTTCTTCCTTGCCACTGTCTTGATGACAGAGCTGTGATTCCTGAATTTTCCTGCCTGCAATGCATGTTTCAGATAGCCCTTGCTCCATTAAAGGTGTGATGATAAAAAAATATAAGCCCTGAAATAACTCATACCCTCATCTATGCAAAATCAGGAGGGAGCATCAGAGAACTGTAGACAGCTCTGTTGGGAGCACATGTTGGGAGATCCAGGGGAAGGGCTTGGAAATAAACTTCTTTTGCCACTCTGCCTGCACGTGTAACCTGTGCTGTTGCTAAATAACACAACTTTTAATTCTGAATTTGTTTTACAGATGATCATCATTTTTTTCCTCATGATTTGTGTAATCATTCATCAGAAATTTTACTCTTTTCCGTGTTATTACAGAATCTGTATTTCAGTTTTGAGGGCTGGGTGAAATAAGTACCAGTCACAGCAGTGTGGGTAACCAAAATAGACTGATTTTATCTGAGAAGGCGCTAGACTAGCGTGCTGCAAGTCCGCCTGCTGACCTTTAGTGCTGGAGACCCAGGGAGCACGACTGGAAAATTCACAAATCAGTAATAGCATTACGAGGTGGACTTGAGGGATGGTTTTCCAAATTGCTGCTGTGGTGTGCAAAGAAAACATCTGCTGCTTTCCTCCCTGTATTCTGCTTTTCTCAGCCTCTCCCTGTGCTGCCTGTGAGCAGGGCCCTGAGGTTGGTCCTGCTGCATGCAGGTGTAG